GTCCCATTGAAGCAGGTCATCATGAGGCGATGGAGTCTGCCGCGGAGGGTGTCTGTACACGTGCTCCAGTGTGGAGGGGGGACGCTCTAATTAGAGCAGCTCTGAGAGCCACTCTAATTAAAGCGCCTGCAATGTCATGTATATTCAGTGATCCCCACTTGAAAATGGTGGGAGCGCTTCAACTAAAGCTCATTTGACAAACTTTAGTTAAAGTGTCCCTGCCGCCATTGTGAAATGCCGGGACGCTGAATACACATGACGCAGAGGCTGCTGGAGCGCACTAATTGTTATACTCTGACGCACGCTAATTAGCACGTGCCGCAGCAGAGGTCTGTCATGTGTATAGATGCCCAGAGTCCTGTAGGACTGAAACTGAACTTCACAGGGCGCCTCGACTTGTGCGCTCCCTGTTTTCTGGGAGCCAAAGCTGCTGATGGTTTGGGGTCTGAATCACAAAATGCTCCAAAGGCAGCGAAGCTGTGTTCAAATGCAGGAAGTACCTAAGCCCTCTGAAAAATTCCCAGCCCAAAGTGTCTCTGATGGGGCACCCAAAATACCCAATTTTGGGTATGATTGACTGTGACTTTATTGTCCCTCAGCTCCCTGGCTCTCCCGGGGGATAATAGCACCCCCCCATCTCACATAGCAGGTGTTGCGATAATCAGTTCATTCACACCTCCAATGCGCTCAGCTACCGTCACACTCAATACTACCGCGAAGCCGCCGAGGGAACTAATCAGTCCACCCTCTGCGCAGGCTTTGAACGCCGTGCAGGAAATAAGACAGGAGGACACACGTTGAACGGCAACATATGGAGTGGCAGCTCATTAAGGAAGCTCGGTCCAACCTGTGCTCCAAGAGCAGCGGGGATCCACCGGAGAAAAGGAATAGTGTGTGATGCTGCAATTAAAAGCTGTGCTTCAATGCATATGCTGAGCGAAGGCTGTATGGGCAGCTGTGATTCCGGCGTTCCCAAACTTTCCAGGACTTGACTTTGCAGCTGAAATGATCTCTTAAGGCAGGAGTTTTGCGGGTGTTCTTGTGTAATCATAAGGTTTACGCTCTAATGAACCAGAATTGTGCATCTTTTACAATGTCCCCTGCTGTATTGGGACACACAACATCATGCTAGGATATGACATCTGGGGTCTGAAGGTGATTGGGAAACTCACTCAGTCCCTTCCACCAGCTACTAAGTTCATTCTTTTCCCATTTGGAGGGAAAGTATGATTTCAGCTTCCCTTTTCTGAAGCCCAGCAGCCTCATCCTTCAGTCCCTCCTCATTCAGACTCCTAATTTATAGGATTATCCCCATTGAGCTCAAAGACACTACTTGCATGAGTAAGGAGTATAGCATCAAGCCCCAGGGCTGTTATTTGACAGGTAGCAGCAGGGTACAGCAGATTGATCAAGGCTTGTCCAGCTGTGGTTGATGAACGAGATCAAACAAATCCATCTGCTTGGAGTGTCTTAGGCTGAGCAAAGGCGGTGAGGCACTGCGCTGTGCAGTACGAGTGCTGACGGAGAGGGATTGCAACAATGGAAACGGCACGTTAGCCTCCGTTTTCTCTAGCCATAGCCCTCCCTTAGTGCACAGGTAGCTCTTTGGCAGTCAGGAGCATGGCAGTGAGCAGGAACGGTCCATACAGGCCTTTTTTCCTTGCTGATATGTCAAACTGCTCCAGGGGAAGCATCTTAAATGGCTCACATCGGTCAATGAGAAGAAGAGTCTGGAGACAGACTGCGGCTCCAGGGTAGAGG